TCGAGTGAGCGTTTAGATATAGACGAAGAGACATGCCTTTAGGATCTTGATTCATGCCTTGAGACATTAGAGACCAGTGTGCTTGGTTTAGGGCGAGACCTAGGTTTACTTTCGGATTGAGGCTATGCGATGACTAGTCGGCTTTCGTTTTGCCTGTTGTGATTTTAACCTGATTCCATACCGATTTAAAATCCGCGATAGGTTCTCGGCTTATACGGTTCGTCTGGTTGGAAGCGAGCATCTCACCGGGAAAAATTTCTAAGTTTCCCATAAGTGCTGACCAAAAGTTTGGATTTCTTTTATAGCACTATTACCCTTGTGCCGGGTGTTCGAGAGCTATATCTACGAGATAACTTAAGTTTGTTTAGGACTGTTGCGAGTTTGTTGTGATCGGCAACAAACTTTTTAGGCGATAGATGTTTACGTTGTTTGGGCCTTCGCAAAGCATATGTATGCTAAGAAGTTTTGCGTATTTTATAGTCGCGGACGGACTGTTAGGTCCTCCAAAAAATGACTTTATTGAGGAAGGTATTTTTGTCGAAAAACTATTCTCCGGGCATCTGCGACGTCTCGCAGTGCCGAAAAATGGTTTTTATTTTATATGCCGCGTTTCATGTTTGAAACGTTTGCGGGCTCGAAAATGTTGTGCGGTGTCGCAAGGGTTTTGTCTTAACCCTGCTTTGCGGAAACACTTTGACTTGCTTGCGAACATTTGCAGCCAAAACTTATGTTCCTTTTTGGATGTTAAATAGTTTGATTCGTGCTAGGGCAGTTAGGACTGAGGGGTCGCGTATGTTTGCTCCTGAAACGAAGCGTCTTTAATTACAATGCTTTGTGAAGTGTTTCCCTTCCGAGACTTGTCGGGTTTTGTAGGCAACTTGATTCGAAAATAGAGTGAATCATGAGGATAAAGAACTTAGCCGATTTTTCGAAAAGTTTGCATTACCCGTTGAATGTATTATCTTGGCGTGAAGGTTGTATTCAGCTGCATAGCCAAGGATGCAGTTGGTAAAGGATTAGACCATGACACTTTCGCGCTATGAAGTCGAATCGGTTTGTAGACTTGGACCCGGTAAGCAAAGCGAAGTGTGAACGAACAAGGGCGAAATAGCGTTTGTTGAGATTTATATGCCAAGTATGCTCGTGATTGTAGAAAACGTTTTTCCGTTCTAGGTTCGATTTATACGACGAAAGTTTCATATAATCTTTCCTTTGTTCGTATGGAAAGTGTTTCTCTTTTTTTTTTACTCGAGGGAGATAGAGCCTAAGAAGCTCGATGTAGAACCCGTGCGGAGTCGTTTGCGGGGCGGTCTCATTCTCGGATGTAATCGGGAGGAATGAGAGCGGATGCTCGTGAACCGAAGGGCTAAAGAGTGAGATCTTTCAGATCGTGGCGCAAGGAGATTGGTTGCTCAGTGCTGGATCGTATAGCTTGGTTTTCGCTATAAGGAAAGTACTTTTCGGAAAACCTGTTACGTTTATTTTCGAAAGTTACTTCATTACGACATGATCTTGACTGTACAAAGGATTTTTCGCGTAACGGGCGATGAATTTTTGCGTAACGATTAACTGAGGAATTCCCCCGAGGTGACGCAAAAGGTGCACTTCGCGGGGTTCAACTTCATTCCATATTCATTCATGGTTTTGAAGCATTCGTGTAGGTGGGCCGGATGATCAGCTGGATGTAGTGATTTGACAAGCATGTCATTGATGTATATTTCCATTGTTTTGCCAAGCTTGTTGGCGAACATTCGATTGACTAGACGTTTGTACATCGCGCCAGCATTTTTAAGCCCGAAGGGCATGACCTTGTAACCTTATGTCCCTCTTTCTGTTATGAACGCGGTCTTCTCTCGATCATCGTGGTGCATTGTAATCTGATTGCACCCAGAATGAATCCATAAAGGTGAGGATTTTGTTGCCAGCAGTCGACCCGACCAGTCGATTGATATGTGGTAGGGAAAAGCTATCTTTCGGAGAGGTTTTATTCAGGTCCGTGAAGTCGACACAAACGCTCCACTTGCCGTTCTTTTTCTTTACGACGACTGAGTTCACCATCCACTCTGAGTATCGTACTTCGGTGGTCGAGCCGGCCGCGACTAAGCGTTCGACTGCTTCGTTGACAGCTTTTGATCGTTCAGGACCGAGTTTCCGTCGCTTCTGTCGGATGGGTTTGAAAGTGGGCTCGACGTTAAGCTCGTGCGAGGTGATCTTTGGGTCAATGCCCTTCATGTCAGAGGTGGTCCTAGCGAAGGTTGATGCGCTTTCCTTAAGGAAGAAAATGATCGTTTGTTGCATCTCGTCAGAAATGAAGTCTCCTACTCGGACGATCTTGCTGGGATTGCTGACGTCGATCTATACTTCCAGGACCTCATCTTTCTGGGGGTATATCTTATGGAAGGTTGGTTGCTGGAGCTTAACGTTAGCGACAAGAAGGTCACGCGTGGCCTGCTGGTCGTCTCGTATTGTCTTGATTCGTCCGTTGTTTCTAGGAAACTTGACGCACTGATGGTAAGTGGAGTAGATTGCTTTCATCGAGTGAAGCCACGGCATTCCAAGTATAACGTGGTAGGGCGCTTCGGTTGTAATAACGGTTAACTCAACCATTCGAGTAACTCTGCCAGCGTAGACGGGTAGTCGGATTGTGCCGATCATTTCTTCCGATACTCGGTTGAATACGGTTAAGGAATGGTTCGATCATTTCATGAGACGTAGGTCGGCTCCCATCTTTTCAAGGGTTTTTTGGAAATTGAGATCGACCGAGCTGCCGGTGTCAATCAATACTTTGGTAACTTGGCGTTCGCCGAAGCCCAGTTCAACGATCAAAGGATCTTTGTGTGGCATATGGACTTTTCCTTGCGACTTTTTAGCCTTCTTGTCTTTGTTCTTGCTCCAGTTGTTATTCTTCGCTTGGTTTTAGGAGGCTTGATCTCCAACTTGCCGTTGACGATAGACGAGAGGAAGTGCTCGTGTAAGATTTTGCATTCCTTCGTGTCGTGCTTTTTGATCTTGTTCTAGGCTAAGTACTTGTCAGGTTTTGTAGGATGTGATCCTGACGCTCCGGTTGCGCCTGGGTTTTCTGGTCATCCTCGAATCTGTCCCAATGATTCTATCCCTTTCCTCGGACCACGACTGTAGATACCGGGAGGTCTTCCTCGTTGACAACATAGACAAAAAATTTCTTTGGATTCGCTTTGTCGTTAGGGCAATGCTGTCGCAGTTATGGTCGGGCTTCACTGCTCTTAGCCGACGCCTGCTTCGTAGCATTCTGCTTGCTGATGATTGCTTTAGTGTCCTCCTCCATCAGGGTGAAGTTTTTGGATCTGGAAATAGCTTCAGAAAGGGAGTTAGTCGGATGGCAGTACACGTAGTCTCGGAACTTCGAGTGTACGTACAGGGTGTTCATCAGGGCGTACACTTCTCCATGAACTCGCAAAGACTTTATCCCTGTGACTGAGAGAGGTTTCAGAGGTCTGAAGTGGTGGCTTTTTGACGAGTAAACATTATGTAGTTCTTGAGGAAGGCTTTTGACAGGTCGTGGAAGATGTCAATAGAGTTTTCCGGTAAACCGGTGAGCCACATGAGGGCCGCGCCAATCAAACTTTCGACGAATAGCTGGCAAAAGCAGGCGTCTTTGTCCTCGTCAGAGAAGTTTGGTCGCCTCATAGAGATGTTGAAAGACGTGATGTGAGCAGTTGGGTCTGAGAGACCGGTGTAAGTGCGTAAGCGGACTTTGTCCATCTTGCGGAGTCGCACGTTAGTTATTTTGCTGGTGAACGGCGTTCGAAGGGTATCCGTGAGGACGCTCTCTATGAGCATAGCAGAGGTCGTGACACCATGGATCTTCGAGTTAATGTCGAGAGTGCCTGCTTGTGAGCGGCTCTCTGTTGGATAGTATGTAGATATGGGACATCGGGGGTGTTGGTTTGTTCCTCGGCGCCTTGAGCCTGCGTTCCGGCGACCTGGCTTTTAGGGTTGGCTGTTCTATTAGTGTTAAACAGCTGTCACTTGAAAGGTTCATAATTGGCGGCCGTCTTGGCGAACGGCGCGAGGATGGCTGCTATGTTGGTGAGTTTTGGTGGTTTCTCTCTGAGCTTCGTCTAGCCGCGCGAAGCGTTCCATGATGGTGTCGATGAAAGTCAGGACGAAAGGTACGGCAGTAGCCGAAGTTGGTGCTACTGCATCGCCTTCGTCGCTGGAGGTTGAATCGTTACTCGGACTCATCTTTTGTTGATGCTACTTTGTTATGCCCCACAGTGGGCGCCAACTGTTTGAACCGAGTTCGGTCATTTATCAGTAAGACCATCTCCAACTATGTATCCAAGCCACTTCTAAGACAGTATCCATCTGATTTATAGGGTTTTAATAAAATCAAAAACATGAAAAATAGTTAGAGTTGTATCTAAATGTAGAGGTTTCTAGAGACATATCCAAAGACAGTGTCATTGCATAAGAGGTTGAGTGTTTTAAAGAATGGAAAAAAAAAATTTGGACCGATTTCTTTTCTCTGTTTCGCGGATTTTTTTTTGTTCTCTTTCTCTCTTGGGTTTGCGATTCAGACGGCAAATCGATTCATGAAACCGCCGGTTTTTATCGAATCCGTCGCGTGTTGAGCCTAGAATCCAACACCGGAAGCATCCTTTCCATCGCCGGCTTCATCAACGAAGAAATTGGTGGAATCTGAGGCTTGACTATTTCAGATTTCTGACTTAAAATCGAAGAGATTTCGAAGCAGGAAGCTTCTTCATTCTTCTCTAGGTACGATTCAAGGTTTATAATGTGTAGATTCGTCTATTTAATTTATTGAATCTAGAATAGGGTATTTTGATTTTAGGGTTCATAAGATTGTAAATTAGGGTTCTTGGTCATGTCTATACTTTTTGTGTGTTATGGTTGTTGTGGATGGAGCTAATGGAGATGCTAGAAGTCTGTGAAAAGAGAGCTACTACGGAAGTTAAATTTTAGCCTTTCAAGGTAATTTACTGAGACTGCCTCTTTAAATGAAGTTTCTGGTGTTTGCTTGTTCGGATTCCCGAGTTAACCCTGCTCACATCTTGAACTTCCAACCTGGGGAAGCCTTTGAAATTAGAAACATTGCAAACATGGTTCCACTTTTTGACAAGGTACGTCCAATATTTAAATGTCTTTCTAATTATCTCTACACAAATATCACAAGTTGTTGTTAGTGGTTAAACAACATAAGCTTTGTCTTTGGAAACTTGCAGACACAACACTCTGGTACTGGTGTGGCTATGGAATATCCAATTACAAAACTCAACGTACGTGATAGTTAATTAATTGCCATGTTCGCTAGAATTGACTTTTAGAGATATTTCTTTTATCTTACTCCTTTTGAATCATACATGGTCAGTCATAAGATAGTGGGTGAACCTGACGTGGCCTAGTTTTAACCCTGAGATATATAACGTAATGTTTTCATTTTTAGGTGGAAAACATTCTGGTGATTGGTCACAGCCGTTGTGGTGGAATAGAGGCACTCATGTCCATTGAAGATGATGCAGCTCCTAATAAGAGGTAACCATACTCAAAACGCTAATGTAATCTAATATCTATAACTACATGAACAAGAATGAGACATTTTTTTGGGGCGATTCATTGAAATTCTTTGAAATGGCAGCATCTTCATAGCTTATGTTGATTCAGTTTGTTCTCTGTGTTTAGGTGTTTTTATTGTTTTTGGTTAAATTACAGGTTCTTGTGGTTCGATTGAGAAGCTTGGATACGAGGCAAGGGTTCCTACCAAAATCGATAGAGAAGGTTGGATTGCTTCACAAGGGACACATCTCTCCAAGTAATTTTTTTATCACAAATTTTCAAATTTTTGAAATTTAGATTAGATACTTTTGGTTCTACCATTGGAGGTATTAAAACACCACAAGTATCTACATTTTTTAATCTGATTATTTTTACTTAAACTATTGATTTAGAAGTCTAATGGAAGATCTATTGTTGGAGATGGTCTAAGAGAGTGACAGGACTCTTCGGTGGGTTATTTCAAAGTCGTCTTGCTATTCATGAGTGAAAGAGTAGGTTTCTTGATGAGAGAGTTGGTATACAAATGAGGAAACAAACGAGACGAGACTGCATCACCCGGAGACTTAGCAAGAAAAGTACAAGTCGGAAAGATACAAATATCCTGTCGATTTCAGGATCCCCTTCTCGTTGCCTCCTCTCTCGCTTTTATAGTGTACTCTCTCTACCCTCATTGACCTAGGTCGGCGTCTCTTCAGTGGCCTCTTGCTGATGGGCCTCTAGGGCGGCCCGTAAACATGTATACCCATTTGGCTGCTTCTCGTCGTTATGTCGTGGAGACGACTAAACTTGAGCCGAGCCGAGACATAATCGGCTGATGGGCGGTCTGGGTCGTTTCTAGATGGGCTGAGCCTGCTATCTGATGGGCCTTGTGGGATGGAGTAATCAACCTCCTAGAACGAGTACAGTAAATAAGCCGTTACATCTCCACCAGAAGACATTTCAAATTTTGAGGAGGCTAAAGTTTTCGTGAATGTGGATGTTGTTGGTGTCAAAATCGGTCACGACAGAATCAATGGCTAAAAATCTCCGCAAAAATAAAAATACGTTTTATAAAACACTAGAAGTTGTTTTATAAAATTCTAAGGATTTTCCGAAACTAAGGAAATCCGCACGAAACTTAGAAATCGTAATCTCGGAAAAATGAATGAAACAATTTCTGATTACACGATTGCTCAAGTTAAGCGAAAAACAGAAAAAACCGCATCTGCCATAATCGCGAGCTGGTTCGTCTCTTATTTCATCTTGATTCGTCTTATCAATCAAGTTTTACGATAAAGACCGTAAAGTCTTGTTTTCTCGAAAGAACTCGAGTAAATCATATAAAATGGCAACGGCTAGACGAAACACCAAACATTGCCCAACTATACGATTAACTCGATATTTTTTATAAAAATCTTAAAAAGCGCGTTTTTAGTAAAGTCTCGAGTAAATCGTAAATAACGGCAACGATTAAACGAAACATCAAACATTGCCAAAATATACGATTAACTTGAGATGCTTACTTAAAAACGTCATCGTATCTGGAAACGATCTCGTCGAAAATCATAGAACGGTTTTTATTGCAAAACGGCTCGGAAAATCCTAAAACGCGATAAAAGCTTACTCGCGACTTTAAACGAGGTCCAGCCCAAAGACACGACGACAGTTTGACGATTTACTCGCAGAATGAAGATAAATGTCAAGTTTGAAGATAAATGTCAAGTTTGAAAATAAATAGAAGATTTCCGCAAGATAATGGAAGATTCTCGATAAAATCGAATCTAGGCGAAAAGGAAGGACTAAACCGCCTAAGGAGGGAGTATATAATAAGAAGATTGGGGACAGAAGCAGAGGACGATTTTCACAACTCTTTTAGACTTAGAACTCTCTGCACTTAGAAACTTAGGCTTATTTCTCGACATATTCGGTTTCTATGACTGGCACTCAATCGCTAGACTAACTCGCCTAGGCAGCTCGATCTCTTGTCCTGATCTACCAATTGAACTACGTTCGACTTGATCCTCGAAAGGGGTACGTAGGCAGCCTTTCATAAGGTTCAGTCCGAAATCAATCAAACTTTCTTTTTCATATCTTTTTGTCTTTTGTTATCGAGCTGCGACTCAACTAGGTTTAGGGTTTTATGCTGCTAGAACTAGGAAACTCGCTGACGGCCCCTGCGTCCAAAGCCTTTGTAATCACTTGTAAAGATCGCAACGCTCTTACGCGTATTGGAAATAAGATAAACTTTCTTTATAAAATCGTTTTATCATGTCTTTCATATTTTCTGCATTTATTTGGTTACTTGTCGTTGGCTCTCGCAGAGATCCGGGTCCTCTGGAAAATTAGGGTTTTCCTAAGTTTCCTTATTTTTACGGAAATCGACAGTGTGAATTTCGGTTCCCACAGATGTATCGAAGACTCTGCCTAGGGAGCTTGACTTTACTGTGGGAGATGTGGAATTCACTGCTGGGTTCTACTATATATGGTTACCAGAAAGGTGTTCTTTCTGTGAAAAATGGGGTCAAACAGAGAAGGTGTGTACTAAGAAGAATAAAGATAAAAAGGTGATAATTAAGCGACGGGAAGAGAGAGTTAAGGTTAATGAAGGATTGGAGAAGCCAGAAAAGGATGCTACATTGGGTGTTGTCCCACAGAATAAGGTTGTGGATACACAAGATAGGTTGGTTGATCAGGAGAAAGTGATTACTCCGGAACAAATAAATAAAGAGGAGATTGCTAGCACGGAGGTTAAAGAGAATAAAGGTTATGATTGGTCTCCAATTTCTATGGATAGAATTGGAAGGGCCCAATCAAAAGCTCCACAATTTGATATAGATGTACTGATTTTGGGGCGTCTAAGTATTTTGTATTGAGAGTGGAAGATTCGGAGGAGGGAGAAATTCCCTTAGCACAACATGATTTGGGAAATGATGCTGAAGATGATAATTTTGTTTCAGAGGAAGAACAATTAGAGGATGAGATCTTCGAGCAGAAAGATAAGGCTACAACGAAAATTGGAGGGAAGAGAAGAGAGAAGGCTATAGCTCAGGATAATCCAAAGAGCAAAAGGTCTTCTCGTCGTAACCTTAGTCATGACAAGCTTCTTTTGGAATGTGCAAGGATTTAACAAAACTCTAAAGCATTCCGTAGTATGTGACTGGTTGAGTAATAAAGATATGAGATTTGGATGTATTTTGGAAACAAGGGTGAAGGAAAGGAAGGCTGGTAAGATTTTCAGTTCTCGATTTAGTGATTGGTCCTCTATTACTTATTATGAGAATAATAGTGGGGGGGGGGAGAATTTGGTGTTTATGGAGAGATTCGGTTAGATTGACTCCGGTGTTTAAGTCTGATCAAATTATTACTTGTATGGTGGAGTTGCAAGATGAGGAGGAGTTTTATTGTACTTGTGTGTATGCTTGTAATCAAGTTGAGGAAAGAACGGTGTTATGGGAGGATCTTGTTTCTCATCAGAAATCTAAGAGATTTAAAAACAAAGCTGGGATGATTATGGGTGAATTTAATGAGATTTTTGATTGGGGGAGAGTTCTAGATTTGAGAATACGGGTAGAATTCCTGGTTGTATGAGGGACTTCCAGTCTATGGTGCTTCGTTATCAACCTACAGATGTTCTTTACCAAGGGCCAATGTACACTTGGTGTAATAAATGTGATGAAGGGGTCATATGTAAAAAGCTGGATAGGGTTCTACTAAATGAGGAAGCCCTACATAGTTTTAGCAACACTTAGTCTTTGAGTCAGAAGGATGCTCAGATCAATAGAGATGCAAAATTCAGCTTTTTCCGCAAGGTGAAAACATCAAGAGGCCGTTTAAATTTGTTAATGTAAAAGGCACCTTTCCTTGTTTTCTTCCTATGGTGCAAGACTATTGGTATTCTACTGACAGTTTATATCATTCTACCTCGGTTGTTTTGCTACTCTAAGAAGTTAAAGGGGCTGAAACCGCTGATTCCTGGAATGGGAAGAAACGAATTGGGGAATTTAACCATGAAAGCTAAGGAGGCTTTTGAGGATCTCTCTAGTAAGCAAAGTGTCACCTTAGCTAATCCAACTGATACTGCTGTTCAGGAAGAGGCGGAGGCTTATGGCAAATGGTTAAATGTGGCTACGTTAGAAGAAGACTTCTTGAAGCAGAGGACAAGGGAGATCAGAATAACAAGACCTACCATAGAGCTATAATATCAAGGCAAGCTCAGAATATGATTAGGCAGATCCACTGTTTGGTTGGCAGAGTTGTTTCTACTCATGAGGAATTAAAGCAAGAAGCTGTGAATTTTTTCTTTGAGTTTCTTAATCAAGTCCCGGATACATATACTGGTACATCAGAAAGTGAGTTGAAGACCATCCTTTCGTTTGGTTGTACTCCTCAGGATTGCAGATTTCTTGAGGCTGAGGTAACGGTTGAAGAGATTCGTAAGGTGGTGTTTGCTATGCCAAATAACAAGTCCCCAGGACCTGATGGGTTCACTAGTGAGTTTTATAAGTCCTCTTGGTCTGTGATTTCACATGATTTCACTGTTGCATTGCAGTCAGTGTTTAGATTTGGGTTCTTGCCGAAAGTAGTCAACTCTACAATATTGGCATTGATTGCTAAGAAGATTGACTCTTTGGAAATGAGAGACTATCATCCCATAGCCTTCTGTAATGTGCTTTATAAGGTGGTGTCAAAGCTTTTGGCTAATAGATTAAAGCAGATCCTTCCAAGGATAATCTCGGAAAACCAGTCAGCGTTTGGAAAGGGTAGGCTTCTGATGGAAAACGTCTTGTTAGCGTCTGAGCTGGTTAAAGACTACCACAAGGACACGGTTTCACCAAGATGTGTGATGAAGGTTGATTTTTCTAAGGCTTTTAATTATGTGCAGTGGATGTTTGTTTGGTAGAGTCTGAGTGCTTTGGGGTTCCCAGAGAAATTCATACATTGGATCAAACTTTGTATCACCAGTCCATCTTTCTCCGTTCAAGTGAATGGTGATCTTGCGGGATT